GACACAACTTTAAAATTTGATTTAATTCGGTTTTATCGGGGGGGAATGTATTTATGTTTTGTTTTAAATATGTTGTGCGCCGCCCTGAGTCCCGTTGGGAGAAGGGCGGCATATAAATTAAATTTATTATTATTATTATTATTATTATTATTATTATTATTATTATTATTATTATTATTATTATTATTATTATTATTATATTCTTCTTTCTTATTCAAGATATCCAGAGTAGTTACAAAAGAAAGGCCTTTGAAATCAACAGGACTTTCAAAACAAGAATAATTCTGACCTATGAGGTTTTGATATTCTATTTACCTGAAAGGTAGCTGAGGTGATCTGCAGCCCTTCTTGCATACTTTGTTGAAGTTGGTTTTGGATGGTAATTTTCTTCTCCTTTGTTACTGAAGCAATAGGGAAGCTCCGAATAACTGTTTGTTCTCCAACTAAGAATATCAGGAGAGAAACATTGCATCATGGATCAAGTAAGGTAACTGGAAAGATATATTCATACATGAAGAAATCAGACCACATAAAAGGCCTATGGCAAGGCTAAAGGAATTAAAATCTCAAGGACAGATAAATTACATCTAGGGTATTGATCTACTTCTAATGGTTGTACTGTTTTCTTAATATTTATTAAAAGAGTTTCTTTACTTTTTGAAAGAAATGTATTTATCAACAGACAAACCAGACAGGGTAGAATCAGGAATACTGATCCTTACTATTTCTATAACTTTACTGAGTTTTGTACCTGTACTGTTTTGATATTTCCTGCTGCCCGGAAGTAGCTATTTTTAGTCAGCTGAACTATACTTTCATCTAGCAGACAAGACAAGAAGAGACAACAAGAATAGTTGCTTATGGTATTTCCTGTCTCATGGGTCAAAATAATCTGTCTGGACATAAGGCTTCTGGCTTTGCTAAGTGAACTGTAGATGCAATTTTTAGTTCTACTTCAGGCAAAAAATATATTGCAGCAGCATTCCTCATAAAGATCATATATTTTATATTTCCTGCATTATTTTAAACAATTCTGCAAGGCCAGTGATGTCACCCTTGTTATTTGTTATATCACAGAAACTGTCTTTTCCTGGCACATATTTACTAAATAGTGAACATCAGACACAACCATGCCAGTAAAAACTATCCCTATTATTCTGAATGTAGAAATATTATTACACTGTTTCTCATTCTAAGTACTGGTGAAAAATATTGATGAATCACTTCTACCACTGTTTCCACGGTGTCTAGAAGTAATTGGAGTTTATTTTTATAAAACCCACAGAAACTGCACAATAGAATGTTTATCCTCAAAAAGGTACAGCTACATTTAAATAACAATAATGCTAATCAAGGAATGCTGTTATTTTTCTCATTCCTAAGATAAATGTTTTTGTGCTTGTTCACATTGCTTGTTCTCATGGCATTTTGAAATAGTATACTATTATTAATTCCCTTTTATAAAAAAAAATACCACTAGGGAGTGCAAGGAATCCTGGTGGATAGCACTCTGCCTAAATATTTAACATCAATTTCCTTGTTTTGTAATAAAAAATAAATCCCTTATCTTTTGAAGACATAAATATTAAGCTTTAATTTTATTTTAAATAATGTAACCAGACAAGATTTTTTAAAAAGCCATCTGTAAATGATCTGAGTCATCATAAGGAAATACAATATATAAGTCTGAGAAGGAAGGAAATTACCAAGCCATTTTCTATTATCTTGATGTGTATTTAACTGTTATGAGATTAAAGAAATGGATTCTGGCTAACAACTATTAGTTCTAGAATCATATATTCACTTAAATAAGCATACGCTAGGAGATGGTGCTTCTTATTATGAAAGTGAAGTATCAAAAATGATTTTTGTTTGTGTGTATATGTGGGAAAGAGAAAAAAAGAACAAGAAAAGGGGAAAGAGAGAAAAATAAAATAAATAATCAACAGCACAGGAAAGAAGAAAACAATACATTCAATACATGCAAAAATGAACATACTAACTTAATACAGACCCAATAAAGATACAATCCCCATGGGATTGAAAATATAATGATGTGACATTTACACATGGGCCTTCTTATTAGCACTAAGCAAGTCTCTTTTTTAAAATACTCATCAGCCTATCTTCATTTGGACAGAGCAGATGGAAGAGAGCTCTTGAAATTTATCTTATATTCTAAGATATACAAGGTTTAAAAGTCAGCACCAATGTTTTGAAACTCACTTGATGTCAATGGCAGACTTATTTTAATAGTTAAAAAATGCATATACAGAAAACTATGCTGGTTTATGGCCATAGTAAATATCAAGCCCCAGTGTAATTAGACTAGTACTTAGTAATAATGGAATTGCACTAACCACAGAGTCAAATGATTCTAGATAGGGACAATTTTACTTTCAGGTCTTGCAAATCTATCACAGAATATCATAAATAGCATGTCCACTTTACAGTTAGAACATAATATACCTTATTACAAGAACACCTATACCAATTCTGCATTTAATTGACTGTAAGGGTTGCAGAAAGTTATCTTGAGTAAAACAGTCAGTTAAAAATCTTGTTACAAATCTTACTTTTGTATGAATTTTATTTTAGAAGCAGTATAAATGGAATGTAGGATTGGAAGTTAGTTAATTTGCGTGTTTGTTTATTTATTTATTGATTGATTAAAATTATGTGCCACCCATCTCGTCAGAGACAACTCTGTGTGGCTTGGAAACATTAAAACTAATATACATTAAAATAATAAAACAATAAATAACAACAATTAATAAATAAGTTAACCTTCCATGGCTACTGGAAAACATATTATTTTGACACTCATAACAAACATCATACCTAGTTGATCATGAGGGGTGCCTTTAAATATAACTCTGTATGTAGTAAGGAACAAAGCTCCTTCTGCAGGAAGAATATGAGGTCCTCCAAGCAATCCTCCAGTTGCCTCTTCTCTGCCATCAGGATCCAAGAGCACACGGAGACCTTCACACACAAACTCTTCCCCTGGCAGCAAATCTGGTCGTAGAATCTTGGGCTGAACCCAAAGGTATTTTTTTTTTTAAAAAAACCAACAACAAAAAACTTGCAACATAACAAATACAATATAACTTCAAATAATACATTTTGCCTATGATTATTGCAACAGCATTTTATAACAAATCTGGGAAAGTTAGTTTGAAGGAGCAGGACTGAATATTTTCTGCAAATTCAGTGTAGCCTAGGAAGATTTCCATTCAAGAGCAATTTTTTTTTCTATAACCAGATTTTGCCTATTAAATTGGAAGAGATGCTCCACCTACAGAAAATTAATAATCCTCTGGGACAGGATACTCATCTCCCTTTTTTATTTGATTCAAGAACCCTGTAAGAAGGGTTCAATCACTGCTTCCCCACTCTTAGAATATTATAGATCTTTTATCATTATTCATGATCAGAAGTGAACAATTTACTCTTACGCTATAGGGATTAAGGATAAGGGAGAAAAGGTTTTGATTAGTTAATTACTCTTCCGTCTAAAGAAAAAGCTTTATTGGTTAAATTACTCCTTGATTTAAAGCTGGGGTCACAGCAGATAATGGATGTTAAATCACCAGTGTACATAGAATAGCAGCTTGTTTTTACTTAGAGCTTTGGCTGAGCTACAGTATTTTCTCTGGTATGTATTTCACACAATTATAGAAAAGCTGCTTATCTGTTGAAATTATTAGTTTTCTAGGCATACTTTGAACTTTTCAAAGGTTATCAAATACCTTAGAAAAAAGGAAAGCTGAAGCTGTCAAACTGACTGTATTTTTCACAGCTATAAAGCAGAATAAGCAGCCTGAAATACTTGCCTTCTGTATTGGTGGCAGCCTCCTACTTTCTCGATGGACAGCCTCCAGAGTCTCAATGTGCATGGCTACAATACCTAGGAATAAATGCCACCCGAAATGAGCATAATACAGCAAGAATAAAACAGACTAACAAAACAGCTTATCCATTCTAAAACTTGCCTCCAGAAAACCCACTATAGTGACTAAAATTAGATTAACAAACTCTCATTTTCACCTTAAAAGAACACACATGTATACAACTAAGGTATCTTTTCTGAGACAGAACAAAATATCTCCCTGAGAGGAGTTCAAGACAAGAACATGGTTCCTCATACCTGGTATCATACAATGAAGACTTCGGATGTGATCCTGTGTAACTCCACTTTCAGTACAAACCTTGTCTATGAATCTGGTAATGAAGCGCACCACAGCATTGGCAACATCATTATTTTCAGAATCTTCAAAACCACTTTCAGTATCATAGCTCTCTGCAACACTGCCTGCAATGCTAAGAAAGCAATTCCAGTAAGCTAAATCCATGTTGGGGTAAGAAAATAAATCACTCTGTATGAAAACTAATTGTAATGATGTGGGAATTCTGCTGACACACCTATTTGTGACAATGCTATTGCTTCCACTCTCCCAGTCTCCTGTAGCTGACATTCTTAGCAGTTTGTTTTTACTGGTGTCCAGTGGCACTAACAGATACACCATGAGGTTGGCAAAGTGAATTGCTTGGCTGAATACCATGCTTTCTTCACTTTGTACCAGCTGTTGCTGAGTCTCTTTACTAAGCGTTGGCCACAAACGTAACTGCTCAGCTGCCAAGTCCATGGCAGTTTTTTCTTGCCCTTGGTCTTCGGAAAACTTCTCCTGGAAAAGAAAAAATAGCTAGATATGATTTTATTTCCAACATTTAAAACGTTTTCCTCCTCTAGAACAAGAAACAAGAGTATAAATCAAATCAAAAATCAAAGTGAGAAAAAATTAGGAACCTAGGTTGATAACTTTGTCTTAAATATATTCAAGACACCGTGATGAAGAATAAAAAGACATAAACCACAATAAGATAACACAAAGTTTCAAGGGGAATGAAAATCAGAAGGTGACTTGATACTGGATGCAGCTTCTATATCACTCAAATAGTCATGCTATTGGGTATGAACAGACACAGGTAGGATCTTGTGCTACTCCAAGTCTCAAACCCAATCCTGCTTTCGCATCTACTTTGCCCAGCTTTAGGATTTAATAAATCTGAAGCTACGGTATGTGTTATTCAGATTTTCCCTCCCAAAATTCCCATCTTGAGTTGTATTCTATTTTCCAATACATTCAAGATCAGACCCAGTAAAAGCATAACATCCACTAATATAAAAGGAAAAAAACTAAAAAGTACTATTCCAATTATTTTTGACAGATGCCCAAAGAATGCATGGCAATATATAATTGTTAATACTATTTAAAGTGTAGTGTATTCAAGTTTAATTTTCTTTAAAAGTTTCCTGTGGACTATTCTCCTTTGCTCTGTGATGTAAATTTGCTGTTCCTTTATGAATGGCTTATGCTGAGAATGAACTAGTAAAAAATGGTATGATAAAATGAATGCAGAACTTCAAAGAACAGTGGAACAATAGGAAGAACTGTGGAAAAAAATCAATACAATTTATACCAAGCTGCAGTTTGAGGAAAAATTGGCACAAAATATTTTACAGATGGCATAGAACTCAATTATTGCCAAAATGGATAATTCATGAATAATACATATTGAAAATGCCACAACAAAGAAGGAACAATTTTCCATGTGTGATAGTTATGCAAAAAGACTCAAAAGTATTGGAAAAAATGCACCAAAACATCCAAAAACCTCTGAACATAAAATTTGAATTAAAACCACAAATATTTCTATTAGGTATGATCTCAAGGAATATAGCTGAAAAACATAACAATTTATTAAAACATATGCTGATGGCAGCAATAATAAATCTGGTGCAACACTGGAAAGGAGAAATCTTGCTGTCAACACAAGATTAGGAGACCAAAATTGAAGAATGGAAAAATTATGTGTATATATTCACAGCAGAAGTCTAACCAAATTCAAGCAATGAATGCTTTTCATCCCAATAAAAAATAAAATCAAAGTGGGGATTTATCTTCTCCATGCTCATTCTGAACTTACTCAAACTTACTCATGAATATCCTTGAAAAATCAATTTTGGCTAAATAATAGTTGTAGTTTAATCATCTAAAATGTAGCTTTGAACATTGTCATCTTATATTTCAAACTGCATAAAAGTTAACAAATTTGTAAAGATGTATGAAGTAATCCACTGGTTTAGCCAATTATATAACTGAGGTGTTTGAAGAAACAATATACTTGTATATAGATTAATTAACAGATTAACCTGTTCCTTGATTTTTTAAGCACTGGCCTTGCGTATGAGCAGAACACATGATTTGATGTGCACTAAAATTTTCTTATTCAAACATCCCTAGAACACAACTTACAACCCAGGAACTGCTGAAATGTGATGATGACAAAACAGAAGTTGCCGAGTTGATCATTCGTTCTCATATTGTTCCTTCATATATCTGATTTTTATATCCCACTAGGTTTTGGTTTTTAAAGATTGGAAAAAATAACTGCATACCAGGCAAATTAATGAGAAAAAAAATGATGATGTTTTCAAGGAGAAAGAAATTTGAAAGAGATTACTAAATGTGAATTACAGCAGTCCTCAGAGAGGACTGTTAAAAATATGTTTTTTAAATAGATTATTTTAATTTTTAATCTGTAGCTGAAATTTTAGTGGTTGAGCAAGACAATGTTTCAGGAATAACATATTCTGAAATAATTGTGTACAGAATATGGTATCAGTTTAATTTTATTAGAGTGACTGGATTTAATAGATTTCAGCTTGGGCCAGACTACCGTAATGTAGATAAATATGTATTATGTATTTCTCTCTGTGCCTGAGATATCGGTATTTACACCCAAATGCTCAAAACAGTAAATATAAGTAAATATAAATAAAATTAATATTTCTGGTAGCTCTTAACAGACACTTGCTGATTAGTACTGAATGATGAGTTTTTATAATTTGATTATTGATAAGGAATGAAATATGGGAAGAATAAATCTTTTTTAAAAATTGAAATATTAGAGAAGCTATTTAGTTACTGAAATGGTTTTTACTTCTCTGGAGGTGGGGAGTCATCTTTTTCCCCCCGTATTTCTCATTTCCTTTATTCTATCTCTTTAAATGTCTCTTTTCTATTTTTTCCCTTAGAGTGTATTAATTTTTTATTTTTGTACTTATAAACTTTAATAAAATTATTATGAAAAAGAATACAGCCTTTGAAGAAAAAGAAATTGTTTTAAAAATAGTAATCAAAACGAACCAAAGAGAAATGAGCTGTCAGCACAAAGGTCTAAATTACAGTACAGTGATGTTGAACCTTTTGGTTTCAGCATGTCATAAACTAGGAAAATGCCTGATGTGATTCTGCTGGCGTGTTATCCCTTTCTCCACTCAATTATAGAAGAACTAATTCTCTAGCCCTCACAGCAACCTAGGCTACCCTGTATAGCAGCATTCTGCACGCTGCTTATCTTCAGGCTGTGTTCTCGTTCTATTGACAGGCCTTTCTTTCCAGGCTGGGGCTGTTGTGGGTTGCATCAGGCCTTAGTTCTCAAAACAACTATGGAGAAAGCTCTTCTGTGGCCTCTGCAGCCTTGGAAAATCACAAGAAAGCATGCCCTGTTCTCAGAGGATTTTCAGAGGCTCAGATGGTCCTCAGAGGATCCGGAAGCCTCTGCACCCTTCACAAATCACATGAGAATGGGGTGTGCTTTTGAGAATAGTTGTCAGGTATTGGTGAACCACACCCAAAATGGCATGTCATGTCACTTTTGACACATGTATCATAGGTTCACCATTACATGTCAGGTATTGGTGAACCACACCCAAAATGGCATGTCATGTCACTTTTGACACAGGTATCAGAGGTTCACCATTCACCAAATAGCAATTATGAGCTGAGAAAAAAAGAGAGGGAAGCTATCATAATGCTATTTTTTTTTAAAAAAAAGATTTTTCTTCATCTTCTTTTTGGTTTGCTTTGCCTTTTTAAAAAGTATCCTTTTAAAAAATTGGTAACAATATTATCATTTCGGTCTTCACTCTAGTCGCAGGGGTAGGCAACCTTGGCTCTTTTATGACTCGTGGACTTCAACTCCCAGAATTCCTGAGCCAGCCATGCTGGCTCAGGAATTCTGGGAGATGAAGTCCACGAATCATAAAAGAGCCAAGGTTGCCTACCCCAGCTCTAGTGTAACAATTATTTATTTCTGCTTTCTATTTGTTATTACATTCTATTTGTTGTTGTTGTATTATATGAATAGGTGAGCTATGTAAATAGCTTTGTAGCACAGAAAAATGTTCTAGTTTTCACCAGCTGCATGTATCACTTCCTGTCAACTAGGTGGTTGGCATGTAGACAAAATATACAGTCTATTTAAGAAATTAGGGCAAAGGTGCTTGGCAAGTTTCATTACATGACCTCATTAGTGTTAATAGTATATATACATAGTATTCCAGACATCTGCACAATATTGGGAAAGGCATCAAGAAAATACCTATGTTTGCTACAACTCTCTCCTCAGCAATTTAGCTGTTCTTCTCCATGCACGTGTTTGGAACAACTTCCCCCTCCCCTTTTTTGTTGTCCTTCTCCATCTTTCTCTGACTGTATACGATTCTTTAGTCCTTGACAGATGTTCTTAAAATCATGTCCTTTGCCAACACTGCTCAGATTTTTCTCTTGCAGACATCTGTACATGAGTTGGGCTTGTGTGGAAGCCAACATACCTACAAATGTTCCCCCCCGCAGATCTTTGCACATTCAGCTGCACATTCAAGATCTTTGAGTGACATCAATGGGAAATAAAGCTTAACTAGAATGCTCTTGTTTTCAAAACAAATGAAAATGTGCTTGCGTCATATTTGATATTTCATATAATTCAAGAGGCATGTAATTAATAGTATGAGGCAATATGATAGAAAAAGCCTCCTTCTGTTACTCTCTATTGAGTTACCAAATCTTCCATTTTACAAGTTTTACTACAATGGAGACGTTTTGACTTATCACTAGGGCACATAATGTCGGTAAGTCAAGTATCCCTGGATAATTAAGGCATGTCTCATTCCATCTCTCATTTCATTCTAAAGGCTGTAACATACTTCTACAATGCAGCATTCCTATAATGTCTACAATACATGTACAGGCATATTATTGGCATCAACCAAGTTTGCCCAGGGTATATTCCTTTAGTCATACAACCATATACTCACAGAAACATTAAGTATCATTCCAGAGTAATAGAACTGATAACTGTGACTTATGCAATTTCCCATACCAGAATACTGCTTTCCCAATATAACTTTAAAATTAAAAAAAAAAAAGTGTCCGAAAGGAGAGAGAAAAACACAAAACACTACAAAGAAAAACAGGACAAAACAGAAAGCAAGTGATACATGGCACAGTGACAAAACCACACCAAAAAGAAGCCAACTTATGTTATGACACAGACATGCCTTTTCAGTTTGGTGTTAGAAATAAGACTTCAAAGCAGTTCATGAAAGGAGAAATAAATCTGCTTTAATCTGAGAAGGAATCAGAAAAATGCAGCCAATGGAATGATTTTTATATCAAGTTTTCTACTCATGTATTCTCAAGAAGCATATAGAAAATTGTCTAGAACTGATGCTTTTTCTTGGAATTTGAGATCAGATACTAAACTTGAATGCAAGTTCTTCTTATAAAATTCTTGGTAATTCTAGCAAATAAACAAAAAACAAGTTCTTCTTTCCATTAACATCCTCTTCCTATAGCCCTCACTAAAAGCTACTACGATTCATTCATTGGCTATGGCCAAGCAATCTTCAGGGAACTCTTCTCCCTTCCTTCCTCCTTTACTTGTTTGTATGCATGTATGTACATACATATGTATGTTGAGGAACCCCAGACATTTTCATCCTAGTTTTACTGATTACTCATGCAGCTTCTTCTTAGTTTCAGTTCTGTACAGAGAACACAATTTTCTGGCTGAACAGTCAGGTTTATTCCTCATAACTCCAAATAACCTTGCCAACTTCTGGAAGAAATCTACATTATTTACAACTCTGAAATGTGTGTGAATGAATATGTGTATGGAGAAATTAGTAGAGAAATTCAGAAATATTGTTGTTTTGGAATGAAGAAAAATTTGACAGCAGCACGAGCCTTTCAGTTCCTACCAGCTTTTCCATTATATTTAAAGAGGGGAAATATTATTATGGAAATTCTTGATTCACAAGGATAGAAAATCTAATTTAGCTTGAACATTCACAAAAATTCTTCATTTATTTATGAAAAGACTGTAGTGATTACTGAAATCAACATGGATGCATGAATAGTGTACATCAGAGATGTACATTTGGTGGGTCACAGGTGACAGGCCTTGTCTGCTGCAGCACACACTTTATGGATCATCCCCCCCCCAAAAAAATTAGATGAATCCCATTCCTTTCCATGTCTTGGAAGTCCTCCAACACCTGGTTATGTTATCAGCCTGGAACGCCAAGGAACAGGGTTTACATGGCTCCATTGGTGAGACAGGCTTTTCTATCCTCTCTTTGCCTAAGGTTTGTATATTTTGTTTTATAATATTGTCTTTTATGCTGATTCTATATTTTTACGCTGATTACCTTAGGTATATGCTATTTCTTTGGACTGCTGTACATTGCTCAGACTCACTTTTTTGTGAGATGGGCGGCCATACAAATGTGATTGACCAGAGCAAGTTTCATCAAATTAATTTCATAGATTGGGCAAATTTGTTAGAAGACTGTAGCACTGCTATAGCTTCATTTTAACAAAATATTTGACAGAGTAACCAGGATATTCTGATAAGCAAGTTAGCAAAATGGGGCTGGATAGTCTGTCTACTACGGTACTTGGAACTACAACTGGATTAAAATGTTCAAATAGTGCTCGTGAATGACTCATCACATTGAAATGAGGTGTCGATAGGGAATCACACAATTTTGTTCTTGGCTCACTTCTTTTCCACATTTTTAATATTGACTTGGAGAAAGTGGTGGTGAAGATCGCTAATACTGTACTGTAAAATAGATTTTTTCAATCTTTTTCATGTTACAGAGCCTGTTGGTTAAACAAAACCCCGGAAACCCTGTGCAATTTAGCTTTTTTAATTAGTATGTCATATTATTGTTTTACTTACCTTTTGCATTAAGTGTTGTGGATGATTGTCTTCCTTAGTTGAAAGATACAGAGAGCGAATTTGATTTTCCACATCACTATAAAAGGTTGTTTCCCAAAACTGCTGGTTAGCCCATATTGGGTGGTCTTGGACACAGGTATATGCAAATTGATTGACTCCAGGAGCTAATTTCTGAAAGTCAAATAAGTCAGCAGAATAATTTTATCCAACAAGAACTACAGCAAATTCAGTTTGTAAGAAGCAAATTTTGTTAGTACAGATAGTTTCAGCACTAGAAACAATTGTAGTAATGCTTGTGCTTTGATAGCAAGAGAAATAATTGTAGCAATGCTTGTGCTTTGATAAAATCTGTGTGGATCTATCTCGTCTAATATATTTTTTTAAAAAGTCCAAAAGGGAGGGCAAAACACTCATAAATTTAATCTTTCCAAATCTCTTACAAAAGCCTTATTTTCCATCTTGAATTTCCACTATAATGATAGGCAACACAGACATGACCTATAGTGGACTCCCATCCGATTTCCTACTTATACTGGCTCCAGAAAAAGCCATATCTGAAAGCCATGTCTGAATTTAAGCAAACAGTGCATGATTTATACTTATAAAATAAGAGATCTGAAACTTTATATCACTGCTACAGAGACCTTGTAGGCTTCCCTTATGTTACCCCTAAATATTTTTATAATAGCTTTGTTTCTCACAGTAAGTACCGTACTCTACTTGTGAAAGTCATGGAAGGGAAATTTAATAACAACTTTATCAAAAATGACTATGTGTGTGATCAGAAATAGAGACTGTCACAAGGTTTAATTAGTGCAATATCCATATTGCCCAAAGTACAAAAAGTATTTTTATTGAAGTTTACTATAGGATGAAATACAAATAGAAACAAAAATTGAAAAGTTAAAGAGGGAAGAGAACTGCAGAAAGAAGTGAAAAAGTAAGAAAAAAGTAGTGACTTCAGTGCAACAGAATAGAAAAAAGCTACAATCTCAACCTTTTGGTTTACATTTCTGAATGTTTCAAGCCATTGGTATAACAACAAAATCATTCTAATAATCAAAACCGAAAATTAAACTTCCTTTTTTTCAGTTTCAAGTACAAAAATCCAGAAGTGGTTACCAAATGGAAGCAAAACTAGATAAATTCTTCTCTTTAATTAGAAGAGTCAATTTTACCATCTTCGCTAACTCCAGCCATTCTTTCATTGTGGGAATGAGTGTGTGTTTTTCCTTCGTAAAAGTATTGTTTATCAAAATTCCATGCAATATGGATGAAATATGAATGCATTCAGACTTCCATGCTTTCCCTAGAGCTTTGATAATAAAGTATTTTTGAAATTATAATTCCTTAATGAACCATTAAATAATAGCACTGGCATTGCAAAAGGCAGTTTTACTTGGAAAAACTTACATCCTGTGACTTTAAAACCATCGAACAATAATCTGACTATCCCAAGCCTGAATAAAAATGCAAAATGTAGTCTAAATGTCTAGCTGATTGTACAACCAATCACAATAATAATTTCTACTCTAGAAATAGCTAATACTAATTCAGTGTTCTAACAGAACTGTTGAAATTAATGTGTACATTTTTGCCACTCAGATTACAATAGTTCCATAAAAATTTAACTTGAGATAAACCCCACCTGTAACAATGAAGAAGAATGGGAATCCATTCTATCGAATACAGCTTACCATCAGTTCCATTTTCAAGTGCTTTCATGAGAAATAATACTAGGTGGAGCCCATAATTTTCTTGTGGAATATATTCAACAGAAAATTAGCTATATTAGCTAATTCAAAGAATCCAGAACTTACAATAAACAAAAATAAGAGCTTGATACTTGCGTTAAATAATTTTTTCCCTAATATTTCTCTGTTTGCAGAAACCACTTTGCCAGGGTTTTTGGGTTATAGCAGTATATGAGAAACAGGCACACACAAACCATTATTTCATTCACAAACTGCTGTTATCATAGGCACACATACATAAACACATCATGTCACAGTGTGATAGCCTGTAGAAATCTGTGCTTGGAAAGCAAGTATTTATCTATGTTTATTCTAAACCCAGATGAATTCAGTAGTTCTTATGCCCAGATTAGAGTGCATTGGCTTCTGCAGTGCTAAGAATAGCACTGCAGTAGTTACTAGTTTATTCCATGCAAACTGGGATGGACACTAAGGAAGTACTCCTTGGGTTAATGAACTATTTCCCACTTTATATTTGCAAAAAGGAAACAAACTAATGAAAGCTTTTCTATTTGTTTGAATGCCTGCTGAAATCTATGGATATTTCCTCTGTGGTAAACTTCAATGAATAAAATGACTTTAATCCTTGTAGAAGTTCCAGTCTTAGAATTTCTGATCTCCCACACACAATCAGTCTGCTAATCTCTTGTGCCTTCTATTTATAGAGAGCAGAGGTTTGCTATGGACAGTCATTCTATACATAAAGACTCTCCCCCAACTGAGGATTCTGATTTCCCAGAGTTCTCAACTGCATACAAAGCCTCCATGTACAGAGAAGACTCTCCCCTGCAAATACACACCCTCTATCAAAAATGGCAGGCAAAAGCGCTTGTCTCATCTGCTGATACAATGGCAGTGCTTTCTCCCCCCCCCCCTCTTATCTCCCACTTGCTTTCATTAGTTGCAATTCCTGATTAATTTGTTTTCAATAGATCTCCAAGATAATTCAGGGGGAGGAGAGAACACATCCTTTTCAGGTAAATATATAGTCAACAACACCACACAGTGTGGGTTTGTTCCCACCAGCTCCACAAATCACCTAATTTGGCTCCTTTCTTCAAAACCAAACTGAACTTTAGACATGGATTCTGGGCAATAGCCATCAAAATATAAATCATCAATGAATAAAGAATCACCATGTTATGTTAGTGTATCCCTATAAAAATATATAAGTTATCCAATATTATTTTGTGCTACTATCAAACCTAATCTTCAAACTATTCTATTTAATTTTTCTGATTATATACATTTCATTAAATAAAACTGGGATGAGTGCCATTAAGTGAAGCTTAGATATCACCAGCAGAGGGCAATAGATTTCTGTGGAAAAAGTATATGTTATTTCTCTGTTAGGACAGCCTAATAAAATAGTCACTTTTCCTTCAACAATTGGGAAAAAAAAAGTTTGACTTCTGCTCAGCAGTTTTATATAGAAATTTTACATTGACCCCTTTGGATCCTATATAGGATAAATGGGGCAAATTTTGTGCAAAATAATTAATGGTCATAAATTTGACATGAGGACTCAAAATGAAGACAAAATAACATCAGCATTTCAATCTCCCAGGACACTCTAGTGATTGCTTTGGAAAAATGCTACTTTAATTCCACCATCGAGTAAGAGGTTGCCAAATCCACATACATGAAAAGATTTCAGTCAATCTCAAAAAGTCTCAACAAATGCAGTGAGTTCTTAACATGTTACAATTGTTAATTGATAAGGTGCTAATAATGTGCCGCACATGGTGGCTAGCCGTTATTGCCACTTGCTCTTCAAGGAATCCAGAAGGAACTCCAGATTGTTTGCCTGGGGCGTTGAGTGTCACTCCATCCAGCACCAAAGATGGCATAGTCCTAGAACCAGAAGGCCCCCAAACCCAAAAACACTTCAATTGAACTGGAGCCTGTTATTTCCCATCTAGACTCTCACAACCTCCAGGCCCAGAATAAACCTCACCCCATGGCGATAGATGAGCTCACCCAGCAGGGAGAATACTGAACCTTGAAGCACCCCACATAGCATAGACCGAGGGAGGGATGTCTCCTACCCAGCCACTACCAACTGGAATCAGCCTCAAAGGAATGAGGTGAATCAGCACAACACTACCCTCAATTCTTGAGGTGATCATGGTTGATCGTGTTGAAACCCAATGAGAAGTCAAGTAGGGCAAGTATGCATGCACAACCCCCACTTCGCCCTCAACAGAGATCATCAAAAAGCATGACTAATGCCATTTCTGCCCCATACCTGGGACTGAATCCTGACTGAAAGAGATCCTAATAATCCGCTTCATCCAAGATCTTTTGAAACTGTTGCAACCACTTTCTCAATCACCCTTCCCCCAAAGGGGAGGATAGCTACTGTACAAAGATTGTCCAGTATAGTGGGTCCAGCAATGATTACCTGAAGAGGGGGCAAACCAAAGACTTAAGAGGCAAAGGAACAAGCCCCTCAAACCAATTTGAGAAAATGTTTTGAAATCCTTGTATAAATGGTGTCTGTAGAATCTTTTAAATAGAGGATGGGCACCAGCATGAGTCTGAAAGCTTGGAAGACTAAACCTCTGGTCCTGGTGACCAACCCACATTGGATTGCTGCAACACTGTCCTAGGACATGCACATTTGCCTTCATTTAAGGGTGTCTGTAGCATCTTTTAAATGATAATTAAGGCTGGTAAGAAAAGTATTGGCAAAAAAAGGAGAGACTGGTAGAAGAAAGCACAATCTTCTATAGCTTGCTAAGAGCAACTTCCAAATTCAATCCTTTGCAGTTTTAGCCTCAGGAAGTTGTGGCTTCCAAGTATCCTTAAGGAAATGTAACCAAAAATAAGTTATCCATCTGATGAGTACAGATGATTATAGATGACTGCCCAGACATTCCCCAGACATAAATAGCATATAGATTTAAAAATATGAGCTTTATTCAAGAACAGACAGGGCTGCTTTGTCTCTGTGTGCTTTATCTCTTTTAAAAAATTCTGTTAAAATGCTCTGATAAAATACAGTCACAGATTTATTTTAAAAAACAGCAGCAAGTCTGTTCTCAGGTTGATTAAAATCCTTCTGAATTATGGGCTTTAAACAGCCCATGTGCAAACTGCAATTTTTAAAGAAATGTCACATGGTATTTCATTTACTTTGCTATGAGAATGCTATCTGTATGAGAATATAAAACCAATCAAATTGCACATTCTAGCAAAAACAATGGGACCATAAATGTGTTAAAGTGTGATTTAGAGCGCAATGCGAGTTTACATGTATGATCTGTATGTTTCATGGGATTTACTCTACAGTGTATGTAAAACTGCAACCTTGATCATGATTATTGAAATCAATGTCTAATTACTGAACTAACCTATTAGATATACCAGCAATCGCAAGAAAGTTTTTTTCAACCTGTTAAAAATCAGAGTATATTTAATGCATTCAATACATTAAGCAAATGAGGAACATGCTAAACTATATTTCCTCTTCTCGTGCCGATTTATAATTTGCAAAGCTAAGTATGCACTAACTCACCACAGGAAGATGCTCAAACAAATGCATGTGAAACATTTGTAGTTAGCTTCCTATATTCTAAGGAAAGTACAAAGAATTTCCTCAGACGGGTTGAAAATGTTAAAAATGATTTAAAACTCTACTACTATAAAATAGTACTCAGTCAAAAATTAATAATCTTTAAAAGAAAGACAGGAAACATTGTATCTCAAGTACAAGTACTTATTGATATATTAAACAAATTCCAACTGTATTACTAATGGTAAACAGAAACATTGTTTTCTGTACTAAAGATTAAAGTTGTTTATTTACACAAGACATTTTTACATGAACAATGAAGAATGCTTCCCCTGGCTTAAATGAATCACACTCCTCTGATTATTTAGACCAGTAAATAAAAATGCAATTAATGGGAAGATGGTTGTTGTTAAGGTACTATAAGGTTTTTGTGATGCTTGCTGCTGAACAACTGTAAAAATTTTTCCAGACCACAAGTATGCATCCAATAGTTTAATGAGTTTAATGCTGAAAGCTAAGAACCCATGAACTTCTACAGTCATATCCTGTTCTGTCAAGTTTTGTCAGATCCTAGTCATAGGATATTAATTACTGTATTGGATTTTTACTACGGTAAGCATCAACAAAAAACACAATATATTTTAAATATACATTCTTTTTGTTATTCAACTAAATATTCCTATTTCCTTAGATTACAGTTGTATTAGCCTTTGGCTGGAATTTTAATCTACAGCAGTGTGTCTCAACCTTGGTAACTTGAAGTTGTGTGGACCTCAACATGACTGACTGGGAAATCCTGGGAATTGAAGTCCACCTATCTTCAAGTTGCCAAAGTTGAGAGACACTGGTCTAAAACAATATGGCCATTCAGTTAAAATATTCAAATGTGGCAGACATCAGGAGTGCTTAAGCACAGACTGTGAAATAGCTTAGATCAGAGGCCCCCAACCTTTTAGGCACCAGGGACCAGTTCAGTGGGGAGAGGTTTTTCCGCGGACCGGAGGGGGCATGGTTTCGTGTGCTGCCTGAATCCCATGGATGGGCTTCGCTTGTTTGTGCGGCCCGGTTTCTGGCATGCGACGGACCGGGGGTTGGGGACCTCTGGTTTAGATAACAATTAATCTAATTAGAATCATTGTGAAAGGAACATTAGAAATCCCAATATTTGTCATTGGACACCATTTTTTTAAAAAAATGTTACGTTATTGTTCTTAATTTAAAAACAAATTAAATGAGAAAACTAGATGCCAGTATACTTTGATGCATGTAATTATCCTCTATTGACTTATGTTGACTCCTGGCAACTGCCTGGACAAGTCTCTGCAACTTTTTTGGCAAGATTTCAGAAGTGGTTTGCTATTGCCTTCTTCCTAGGGCTGAAAGAGAATGACTGGCTCAATGCCATCCACCTCTCTTTGTGGGCAAGGGAAGACTCTGACTTACGGTTTCCCAGTTTCTATCCTGGTACTTTAGTCACTACACCAAACTGGTTCTTGCATCCTCCACCAAACTCTTTTATTTCCAAGAATGCCTTTAAATCCACTATGTATTTCAACACAATCTTTAGAAAAATATTTGATAGGATGATTCAGCAGAGGACTTTATTTGGAAATGTAACCATCCTACTTAGAATGATGTCAAGGGTAAATTGAAGGAGTACCCTGGGGAAGGGAGCTACAGAAGGAGGTGGGGAATATCATTGTAAATTTGGCTTTTGATAATTCATTTTTTGTGATTGACTATGCCAATAATTTTGTAGAGCTGCCTATATGCTCTATAGCTATAATCTGGATCAAAACAAAGAGTGATTCTTGATGTACATTTTTGTCCTAATTTTATTATTTTGAAACTGCAGAATTTATACCTTCTTTTATTTCTATTTTATTTCAATTGCTGTTTAGATTTATGAGACCTAACACTTGAAAGAAATAGATTAGAAATGTCAAGACTAATTATAGAATATAAGTGAAGTATCCTTATAGAAGGGATGATTCTTCCTTCCCTATAACACTTCGTCATGGAAGGAAGGAAAGAAGGAAGGAAGGAAGGAAGGAAGGAAGGAAGGAAGGAAGGAAGGAAGGAAGGATACTTCTTTACAGTTCCCCACTCTATGTAGAATACAAGAAAACAAAGAGTAGGACAACCCTAATGAATGCCTAATATTGCCATGTCAAATTCAATATGAAATTTAATCTAATCCTTTCAGGGTTTCTTTAACCCTTAATGCCTTTTAGAATCACACAATGTAGGAAAGACAGGAAACCCAACAGTATCAGAAAGAGATTGAGAGGTTGGGCTGGAAGAAAATAAGACAGAAAAATAAGTTGAACAAGCTCTGGGTAAAATACTCTTGTAATCTTCATCCTTTACGTAATCTCAGTGCAGTTTTATATATATATTCTTAGAAATATATTCTTAATTCTTAGAAGAACACAACTTACCCTATAAAAAGCAGTTGTCAATGGTAATAATGTTGCAGCAATATTATATTCTTCTGAAGATGAACAATCCTTTGGGTTCGTAAGAAAAACAAAAAAGAGAAGGTTAGCAAGTTATAATTATTAATTGAAATGTTTCAAATTTTAACCAGGAGACACATTCCTAGAAATTGTAACCCAAAAACAAATCACAGCTATGCTAAAAATAAAATGAAGCACTGATATTATTTTAAATAAATCTTGATATAAAATAAACTAAAAATATATAAAACATTTCCCAATGAAAAATATTTATATTCAGACCACTTCTGGAGAAAAACGGTAGGAATAAATTAGACATATATCCAAGTACAATTGGTATCAGTGTCCAATCCCTTGAAATCAACTTAGTGTGAATGTACTGTATAACCCCAATACTTTCCCCAATGATCAAGCCTGTGATATCCAGCACATAGTTATAGCGGAATACTGGCAGTTTGGCTCTGGGAGAACTGATATAACCTTTCTATATAAAACAGAAGCATCTTGCTTGAGCTGAAGAACTATAACATGTTTATGTCTAATAGGAGGAAGAGAATGGGACTTAGAAAACATGAAGACTTCTGACATATGTTCCAATTACACCAAGATAAAAATATTGCTTAGGGTTCCATTCTTCCCACTCTAGGAAAAATGTAGATATTTAAACCTGTATTTTGAGCATTAACCATTCAAACCACTAATTTGTTCAATTGATTTATATAGCTGCCCATCTCACATATGTAATCTAAGCTGGCATGTCCAGGCTTTAAGCAGTTCTTGAACGTATGCTACCTAAAGCAAGTGGAGAAGGGTAAAAAAGAGGAAAATGAAATATATTGAAAATAAACCTTTTGGCCTATTCAAGGAAAAAAGAGAAATGATAGAATAAAAATATATATTAGAATGTTTATTGATAAAATGCTGCAAACATAAATGACTAGTGTCTGAGAGAGCTATATCAGCCAAGGTCAGCAGCTAACAGCCTGAAAGCAGATTAATCCATTACAACAACAATACATGGGACTCTATTGTTGTTACAGTCCAAAATGGAGAATGGAGAAGATTTTAAAGTTATCTAACAGAAGTTGGAGAAAGAGATAAGAAAGAGAAATTGAAACTCCCATTGCTATTGTCTGTATTTTTCACTAGGCACTTGTTGGATTCTTTTTAAATTTGAAGGACCGCATTCTCCCAGTTACATGTACCTGATCCATGAGAGGGGGGAGGCAGGATGTCTTATGGATTCCCTCTCTTAAGGAGATCCATCTAGTGATCATGAAGGGGCTTCTCTGTGGTTGCTTCCTCCTTGTGAAGCTTCATGCCCATAGAGAAAGGGGTTTTCTTGCATATGACACTAAACTGCCAGGAATAGCCAACACCCCAGAAGACAAGCTCAGGATCCAAACTTGAACTTTTGGCCCTATCCAGCAAAATGAATTTTAATTTGGAGAAAAGCCAAGTTTTACATTTAGGCAGAAAAAAACCAAAGGTATAAGTACAAAAGTATAAAACATATGAAGAACAGCTGCAGGACTTGGATTTGGCTAGTCTAAAGAAAAGAAGAAACAGGAGTGACATGATAGCAGTATTTCAGCATTTGAGGGGCTGCCACAAAGAAGAGGGCGTCAAATTATTCTCCAAAGCAGGACAAGAAACAATGGTTGGAAACTGACCAAAGAGAGAAGCAACCTGGAATTAAGGAGAAACTTCTTAACAGTGAGGACAATTAACCAGTGGAACAGCTTGCTTTCAGAAATTGTGGGCACTCCATCACTGGAAGTTTTTAAGAAGAGATTAGATAGTCACTTCTCCTGCTTGAGCAGGAGGCTGGACTAGAAGACCTCAAAGGTTCCTTCCAGCTTCTATTCTATTCTATTCTATTCTATTCTATTCTATTCTATTCTATTCTATTCTATTCTTTTTATACATTGACTGAGTGACTGTGAGTTGGATGGCCATATAAATTTCTAAATAAGTAAATAAACAAACAAATAAAAAGTAAAAGGCTTTTCTAGTTCTTGGAATAAGCATAGTCATCCAAGCTAATCACTGAATCTCTGCCTCTGAGGCTTCTGGTTTTAGTACTTGCTAGGTGAAATGAAAATATTCATTTTCTAAAGGAAAAAAGATGGTTGATTCCATCCAATGGAATAAATCAGTATTATTCTGCACCTCTATTCAATACGTACACACAACTATGCAACTAGCAGGTAAGGGGGAAAAACGTCCACAACTCCCTTAGCCACTTGCATATTTAAAAAACAAAACAAAATCAGAGGCAATGATTTTCAGAGGAAACTGAGGATGAGACTCATATCAGTCTTGATAGGAGGCCCCAAGATTGCTGTTTTACAGCATCTGCTTGCAAATAGCCGTTTCAAAAACATATCCAGTTTGACTCTATGGAGGGTGAAGATTGCACAAGTTGCTTTCGCAAACCTGCTTTCAGCTCTCAGCAAGAGTTATTGTGTTTTTACTTGCCATTAAAATAATTATCCATCAAAAATGTCAACAATGAGGAAAACATACTTTTGAAAAGCAACAAAAAAGTAATGATTAAAATGAATGGCCTGACTTTTATTCTCAGGGTCGTGCACACAATACGTTTGTTCCTTTGGTCTTAAGTTTTTGACAGATTAAGGTGTATATAAAAAAAAGAGAGACACTTTTGAACAGAATCAATCAAAATATTTTACTACCTTAGCAGTTGAATCCCATTCCACTTATGCAAATTGCTTTGACTTGAAATCAAACCTTACTTTAACACTGTCAATGGAAGAGCGGGTCCTCAACCTTGGCAACTTTAAGACTTGTGGATTTCAACTCCGAGAATTCCTCAGCCAGCAACTCTGTTGCTGAGTGAATGGTTCTAAAGCACGAAATCACATGGCTGTGCCAATTTAAGATGGCAGATGCAGCAATTCCAGTTGCTGTCAGGTGAATCTTGTGCAGTTGTAGTATCCTGAAGTCACATAATCGCCATTGTGACCTCCTACTAGCTTCCCTATTAACTTTGTCAGAAGCTGGCTACGAAGATTGCAAATAGTGATTACATGACCGTGGGACCCTGTGGCCATCGTAACTGTGGGTTGGTTGCAAAGCATCTGAAATGTGAGCATGTAACCATATGTGAGGGCCACAACTATGAAGAATGGTCGTAAGTCCTTCCTTCAGTGCTGTCATAATTTTGAATGGTCACTGAAAGAAAATTACCTGACTACAGATTGGATCAAAAATACCTGAATATTTCATATTGAATTGTGACACTAAAGCAAACAACAGTAATATTTTAACCATAGCTTCTTTTATTTGTTTGTTTGTTTTATTCAATTTCTATAGCTGCCCAACTCATCCAAGTGACTCTAGGCAGCTTACAATTATTTTAAAGTTACATGAATAAATACCCCTTTTTCTAAAAGGCAACTGACTTTCTTGATATTTTTTTTCTTTTCAAAACATTTTGCTTCTCATCCAAGAAGCTTTTTTCAGTTCTTGGATGAGGAGTGAAACATTTTCAAAGAGAAAAAAAAAACCCAAGAAAGTTGCTTTTTAGAAAAGGCAACTTTGGGACAACCATGGTTGTTGCTTTTTAGAAAAGGCAACTTTGGGACAACCATGACCTGGATGATTGAGAAATTCCATACATGAATTAATAGCGTTTTAAACAGAGGTCCCATCTATGAAATTATCCCTTTAATCCAGAATTGTGATCCCGAGTGTCTATCCATTGGTAATAGTGTGCCCATCATCATCATCATTATGATGTCAGATGATAATTTACCCCATAGTCTACAAGCAAAGACTACAAGCAAAATAACTCTCCCCACTTATAAACATATCTTTAAAGCCTCCTCATTCAATCCTGATCAAAATGAAATTTCATTAATAGCTATCAGTAACCCTGATGAAATAAATTTATCTTGAATTCCTTCTGCTTTCTTTTCTTGATCTTTAATCCTGTGAAATAATGTCCCTCAAGCTGATTTTTTTTGTATCATTTTCTCACTGTCTCTTTCAGGAATAGCTCCATTAGTTTAACATGTCCCTTTTGTAAATCCAAGATAAGAAAATTTTTAAAGTCATTCTTCTGATGTAGTATTTGTTTTTACTCTTTAATTATTAAGGCGTCAACTGGTTTCATTTGTAAATCCATAGTGGCATTTTTTCATATCACATATGATTTTAAATCCATTTTCAGATCCACAGCATCTTTTTCCATATCATTTTGTAATCTAGCATTATTTTAAAAATTCACATTTACCATTCAAATCATCCTCAGTCTGTTTCATCCAATAAAATATTCCATCTATCTCTTAACTTTCCAAAATCAACATTCTATTCTGCCTTTTGCTGTTTCCCCAAAGTTATTTTTTTTAATCCTTACAGTTACAAAAAAACTTATTTCATTCAGAGTAGGAAATTCTTGAGTAATGAAACTTATCCTTTGGGTGGTTCTTAACACCTAGAACACCTTATTTACGTAGAAACTAAATAAGAGGTCTCCAAAAATACTTATGAGAGGAAGTAGGCAAACCCAGTGTCCAAATTAATGGTGCTGAACTATGGCTTAGGCAAAATTAACTCACTGGAGATCACTATTTTATGATGTCTTCATAGGAAGATTCTTTATGGAGCAAATTTGTGGGTAATCCTTGTCCTCTCTTTAATCCAGAGATGACTTCCAAGGAACCAGTCCATCCACTAGCCTCTCTTTTGGCTGCAGTTGTTGGTACTGTGAAAGGAGGGCTGTCTTCAATCCCCCACTGTTGTCCCAGGATGTTGTAAAGGACAATATTTGTGAGAGTATCCATAACTGTTGTTAAACATACCCACTCAAAAAGGTGGGGACCATGCACCACGATGTCAAAATATTAAAATCTTCCACAAATTCCATAAAACTAAAGCTTTCAGCAATTGTACTGAAAATTATGTTGTTTAGAGCATTTTGATGTAAATACAGATATTTCAGACACATAAAGAAATACATAATATATGTTTATTTTAAAAATGCAGCTTTATGTCACTGGATTGCTTGAGAATGATGATCAACT